ATACTTTTGTAACCAGTAGAATCCAGGAGAAACTGAGGGAAGGTTTTGTCTTTCCACCCTACAGTATACGTGCTGATTCTTGCAGACACCCAACAGCTCTCTTTTGGACCAGTCCTAAATGGTTAGCATAAGGACTCAGAAGAAATTAATGTATATACTTAACCAGAACTGAGCAAACATTTACTCAGACATTCCCTCCTATTTACTTGGAAGCTCATGAAGATACAGGAGACTCCAGAGGGGCTTGAGTTGCGTGGTCTGGCAGAAGGATAGCAGAGATTAGACCAGCGTATTACACCTAGAGCAGACAGATTCCCTAAGGGATGTGTGTGTAAGACGGATTAGGGAAACCTGGATGAGAAACATATAGTACATAACAACTCCAGGCACATTACACTGATGCCTGCTGCTTGGGCAGGATAAACACAATTAGTTATACGTGCTGTGCTAATCTGACAAATCCCATCCCAGCCAATTCACTGAAATTGCATTCTCTAGCTCCCCCTTCGCTTTTTGTGTAGACATTCCCGTGCCTAATTCTGGGAGCTTAACCAGAACGTCACTCTGCACACAGTTGCTGGAGGGGATCATAGCAGGAGTCATGCCCTCACATGTTCTGCTTTTCAGACTTCTAGCAAATGCTGTCGCTGTCTCAGAGTGTCTCTGAGCTCCTGCAATTCCTGTCAAAGCCAACTCAGTACCCTGATCAAATCCAAGCATGAAATTAGCCAGCATCTCCCTCAGATTTAGAACAGGGCTCATTTCTTTTAGCTTTAACTGTGGAAAAGGTAGATGCTCAAGGGCATCCTCTTTCTAGACAAGAGACATTGTCACCTCCAAAGTGATGGTGCCTATCTAGTTTCTCATTTCAGACCCTGTTTTATGACAAGATGATTTCCCCTTTCTTCTGCTTGATTATGAAGGGGGCTCACAGAGCTGTCTGAGACTGCAAGTTTAACTTTGAGGGTGTCACAGCTGGTGAGGTGAACTCCATACTGTCTTTGTAAAGGAATTAAAAAAAAAAATATCCCCTAGATGATAGCTGTACTCCAGAGATATTGGAACTTCTGTGGTGCTGCCCTCTGCTTCTTAAATCACCACAAGAGAAAATCCTTCCAGAATTTCTTGGGTAGGTTATAAAATATTTCAGACTGGGAGTCTTCAGAAGATCTCTAGTCAAACATAGTGCTCAACTCAGGGCTAGCTGTGGGGTCAGACTAGGTTGCAGAGGACTTTATCTAACTGGATCTGGAAAATCTGCAGTGTTCCACTGCCTAATTTCCCCTGGGAATGAGAAATGCTTTCCTCATACCTGCTCAGAAATTCTTGCTCTTCTGCCATGTACTGCTGCGAACAGCCTGTCTCCATCTTCTCAGTGACCTCCTCAAAGGTGCTGGGATCCGCTGTATGGTCCCTCTGATGCTTTCTCTTCTCCAGGCTGGAAAAACCCACTTCCTTGGCCTCTCCTCACAGGCCAAGTACTCCACCCCAACCATCACGGCAGCCCCTTGCTGAACTTACTGTAACCAGAATGGGAGTTACTGGTTCCCATGTCCAGCCTGCAAGATATCTCTCACACACACTAACAGGAGCTGGACTCCCAGTAACCCCGTCCAGGATGCTATAAGGACCACAGATCTCCTGCTTGGTCTCCCAGAGGAGCAGAGCAAGAACAGCAGCTGACAGGGTAATTATTAAGGTAAGTATCTCTATGTCTGTAAGACTTCTAGTTTTCCTCCTCAAAATTTTCAAGCATGGAAGACAATGTGTGCTATGTGCCCCAGTTGTGAGGAACCAAGACTTTGGCCTTGATCAAGACTAAGCTTTGTGAGTGTTCTAGTGTCAGGCCTGCAGTTAAGAAACTAAAAAAGAAGATAGATATGTGCCTTAAGAGATTTTCAAGGGATATCAATGCCTAATCCACCTCCATTATGACTTGGCTGACTCCTAACTACATTCTTCACCAACCTGTACACCCATATAAAAGCTGCCAAGTTCTTTGTTTGACTCTAGATAGGTTTGCATACTCAGAAAGTGTTATTTCTAGCAGGGTTCAACGCTCATGGTGTTTCTCCTGTGTTTCAGCAAAGCTAGTGTTTCTTCCAGCAACTGGTCTCATTAGAGTGAACGGGAGTAGTTTTTCTCTCCTTTTGTATTCAGCACAAAGCAGTGTGGTTCTGACATGACTGAGTTTAAAATGAAGCAAGCCCTAGCATCTGCATTTATGAAAGAAGCTGCAGTTTGTTCTTGCCACTAGATCTATATGCAGCCTAAAGAGCTGACTGTAACCAGACTACAAATGAGATGCCTGCACTGGTATTGTTTGAATTTAGAGGCTACCTTGTTTTTTTCTGGGGATGGTAAAGACAGCTCAAGTGTCACACCTGTGTCTGCAGTGTCTCTGGACAGTCATCAGGAGGAGGTCAGAGTCACGCTGTCCTCCTTTCTGTTCTGCTCTAGACTGCCCAATCTCCACCTTTGGTAACAAATTTTCGCAGTAGCTCTAAGCTATGTGTGACTATTTCTGCCTGCTGTGCATGTCTCTGTATGTCCCATTGTAGTCCAGGTGAAAAGGCAACAAGGAATCTGGCTCCCCTGCTTGTCTCCACAAACCTCGTATCAGTAGAGGAAAAATTCTTCCCCTCCTCTCTTTCACTTGCTGTAAGAACAGTCCCAGCCTAGGATGTTAACAAGGTCTGGATTTCATCTCGGTTTACTTCTTTGACAAATGTGGGATTCCACTACTGCCTTGGCATTAAGCTCTTTTTCAAATGTAAATTTCTCAGCTGCAAGGAATCACATTAAAAAAAAGTATATTCAAAAAGCAACTGTCTAAATCAAAGACTAATTGGCTGCCAAATTATGGGTTTATGCAACTCCCTCATCACAGCTTGTTTTGCTTTTTTACCAGAGGTAAGTAAAAAAGCATCAGAAAACACACAAAAAATATTTTTGTTTTCCTTTCATAATAAAACATTTGATGTCAACCCATTTACTTTGAAAGCTCTTGCTACCTACAGTGAAAATCCTGTCCACCTGAGATTGCCTGTCCGGCCAAAGAATGCGTCCACAGGGAAATGGAAACCACTCTTGTGATTAACTCCTAACTAAGGGGAAACTGAGGCAAGAAGCATGGTCAGCAGCAAACTATTGGGTGACTTTGGAATGGCAGTAGGTTCCTCAAAGACCTGGCCACCATGACTACCTGCAGAGGGTTCAAAGCAGCAGCACTGAGATCATCTTTCTCTAAATGTATGTCAAAGGGCACAGGGATTCACAGTCTTCTTATACCTGGGATTTTTTTGGTGGATACCCTCTGTGACTGGGGCCATATGGGGACTGAATATGCAACTGAAAACTCTTGAAATCAAAGTGCAGCAGTTGGTTAACTTTATTGCTCAGGTCTCCATGGTGGCCTCAATCTCACACTCAGGGAACTTAATGAGAGGAAGAAATTAGTTCCTTGACAGATGTTCACAATTACATGGGTGAAATGCTCTGAACCATGACCCATGAGGCACTGGGGTTAATGTCAGACCTGAGGTACATTATTCTGGGTCACTGTCTTTGTCATTGACCCAGTACCGGTGTGGAATTTGGAGACAATCTCCCCGGGATGTAATAGGAGTCAGATCACATTTTCCTTTCTTCTTTCTTTCTGACAGTTCCTCCTCCTGCCTCAAGCTCTGTACTTGCCAGCCTCTCAAAAACATCATATGCAGCAGACTACCTGGATGCAGTGATCTTCTTCTCTATATGACCTTGCAATGATGTTTTTCTTCCCCTACTCCGGGCCAGGAGTTTTATCTTAATCCTTTGTTGCAATCTCAGCATGTGAATTCACACTTGCAATGAAGAACAAGGATTCCAGGTAAATTACATCAAAACAATGAGAGTTCCTATGAAAGCATTTGCCTTATTTCTTCAACTTTATTGATTACCTTTTCCTCTAAGTTTTCCCAGTGATTCGTGTTTAAAGGGGTAACAAATCCATTGCCACTGGGGAACTGTACACCTAACACTATGCTGCAAAACAATTACTCAGGAATTCCCATAAAGAGTGGGATAAGAAATCTTATCTTATAAGAAATTCTCCTGCTTCAGCAACACAGTACTCAATACTAGAGTATTGGGGAAGGAGGTGCAGGAGGCGAGGGGGGAACTTAGGCAGGCAGAGAGCTCAGTATATAGAATAGTGTCCCTATTTTACCAGCATAAGGGCTTTGTGAAGCAATGAGGGTTTTATCTAGTAACAGGCTTGCTGTGTGTATGTACATACACTAACCAGGTTAGGAACTGACACTCACCTTTGAAATATGCTCTCTGGTAAACAACAACTTAGAAAGAGAAGGGTAAAAATACCATTCCAAGAGCTTTTCCAACCGTGCTGCATCTTTCCTATGTCAAAAATAAACTGCAAAATGAAAAGATGAAGAATGAGCCTACCATTTTGTGTCCTCACCTCTTAAAATAAAAGAGTAGTTTTAAACCACATAAAAATGTTCTGCCATGATGAATTACACATTTATAACCCTATTTAGTGAAGTATTTTACCTATGTAATTTTAAAACTGTCATTTTGACAAAAAATATAGATGAGCAAGTTGGCCTTTCACATTTAATGTTTTCGTTCTTATTTGCAATTCACCAGGTTCAGCTTTGATTAAAGAACTGGTATAAATGCGATGCATAATGGTCAGGACTTGAAGAATATATTACTCTGACACTGCAGGATAAGACTTTTTTTCTTTGTATAAGCAGATTTGGTTTCTTCACCTGAGAAACTTCTTTATTCTGGGCCTGCTGGCTTTATAATATCTGAAATGCATCTTACCTTCAACTCCAAATTTGCCTACAATAAGGTGCTCGATTTAAAGAGGAAAAGACAAAAGTCAGTGGACAGACATACTTATAAACTCACACTTTCTTTTTAACAGACTTTCAGTGAATTAATCATCCTATGCAATCTGACTTCCAGCCTGAGATGAGGTGGGGCTGCTACAAGAGATCTTAGGGACAACGCTAAGAGGTGATTAAAAAAGGTTCTGCTCTGGATGTGCACCTTCTGTTAACAGGGGCTTTTCTCCACAGCAGCTGCTGTGAGTGCTTGGCATAATGTGACCCTGAATTAGCTCAGAGGAGATATTTCCCTCTCTCCTACTTGTCAGAGAGATGTCATTATGTCTTCAACTTATTGTTCTCTGGAAGTCTCAGTGCTTTTAGGTTAAGTTAAAATTTGTGAATAAAATCCTGAAAACAAGCCCAAACCTCAAAACCAACTAACAGAACAATCCTCTAGATAAAGACTTCCCTTTAAAATAGATAATCAAATACATTAATATCTTCTTTTTCAGTAAACATGTTAAATACAGATTCTCTTCCTTGTGGATAGCTGTAATTATTACACATTGCTTTCTAGCTCCACACTCAAAATGGTTTCCTAATGAAATCACTCTACATCAGTATTTAATGACTGAGGAAAATAAATCCAGATGATCCCTCTGGAAAGACCTTAGGTATGTAAAAGAATTAGTGACTGTTAGGGCAAGTACCTAAGGAGTGAAGTAGGCAGCCATTTAATGGCTAATAAGAACTTTGCACAATTATCTATGTTTAGTTCTGTTTGGTTAAATGGATCTCTCTCTCAAGGGTCAGTGACATCAGAGTTTGCTTTAGGATCCAAGCTTACCAGCTTGGATAAAATGAATATAAATAAATAACTGAATAATAAGAAGAAGACAGATGTGAGAAACAAAGGAGATAACAGAATTCAATTATGCTATTTGGAGATGGTCCTGACAGAAGGCGTGAAACATCGACATATCTAGGAAGGCCAATTTTAGGAATGAGGGTGGAGGTACACTGAAGCATTCATTCTTCTTTTTTAATTTCCTTCTTTGGATGTTGGTTTGCAGTAGACCACTCGGCAGCATCTCTGAGCCAGCACACAGATCTGACACCTGGCTTCCAGCCCCTGTTCCAGGGAATTTGATAAGCAGTTTATGCAAGGCTAAACAGTATGAAGAAGAGATATTGAGCCCATAATTTTAGATAATGTACCCTGTGCTGTGTAGGAACTTGTCTTTAGAGGTAGAAGACAGGGGTCTTAGTCCATTTTAAGAGCTCCAGGTTTTCTGTATCTGGGTTGGTGACAACTGGAGGAAAGAAGTCGTTCTTTCAGGTATTTTTTATGCCAACCTAAGTTTCAGAAAGCCTTCTCAGCTGAAACTATTTGTCAAATTAATGTTGAATTCATAAAATTGTTTTGGAATGGATGAAATTGCTTTTTGGGAATATGAATAGTTCATTCACAGGAAGAAAAATGTGCCCAGCTCTGGCAGATTATATTGGCAGGGATGCACCCAAATGTTGCTAGAAATTACTTCCAGGCTGAAGAAGAGTGATGAATCCCACACTTAACCTTAAAAGTGCACTTAAAAGCTTTCCTGAATGCAAAGTATATCCTTGTTACTGGAAGTGCAGGGCCGAATTCTGCGCTGCTTTATGTGCTCATGTACATCCACTCAGGCTAAGTGCCAAAAAAATGCAACATGCAACACATTTGCAGAAGTGTTTGCTACATCCCCACCTATTTCCAGAAGTGTTTATGCTTATGCAGGTTTCTTTGACAGCAGAGAAGCAGGTCTTTTCTAAAAGACCACTTTTTTTTATACTACATTGTCTCATTTGATTTGCCTGCAGAGATTGTTAAGCAGAAAGTCTCCAGTGAGGTAAATGAAATCTTTTCCTAACTGTCCCTTTTCAGGGCAGTGAAGGTATTTAAGTCAAATATGACTCTTCCAGGCTGAGTGTGACACATCTGTTGTACCTTTTCTTCCTTCATTGTCACTTATCTCACTTAACGGTGTCTTGATTAACTGACTAGGTAGAAACGCTGAACTGTAGCTGAAATCCTCTCTTTTCCTATCAGTTCTTGAAAAGCCAACATGATAAATGGGATTCATAGCTCAGAGACTCACTGGCATCACAAAATGTCAAACCAACTACTACCTGGGTTCAGTGTTTCTTAAAATCTAGTCCATGCCTGCTGTCTTTATCTTCCTATGTATCTGTGTAGGTGCATGTGACAACATATATGTGTGTTTTTAAGGCCAACCTCTGATTGTCTTGAGTTGTAGGCCCAGAGAATGTGGAAGACTATAATACGTCACTTCAGCCTCTTCTACTCATCGATATCCAGCAATTCGGAGATCTGATACACAAAGGTAAGAAAAATAAAGGAAGGGAAAGGAAGATATTTTGAAATTCTAGAACAGCTATATAAGAGGTATGCAGAAGGACTGACAGAATGTCAACTCCACTTGAACCTCCTGTTGAACATAGCCCAAAAACCATTTCCACAACTAAAACCTCACCATACCCATTTCTATAGTGAAGATGAAAAGACCACAATAGAAAAGATGAAAAGGTCACAAATATATAGTATTTCTCTGGAGAACCCAAGAGACATAGATCATGGTCAACCATCCTAAGGTAATTTTTGATCCCACGATATAAACCTTTTACCAACATGATAAGAAAGGCAAGGAGCCTTAAATAGCTCCCATCTGTTGGATTTGGATGGAAGGACCTACCTGCTCCTGAATCTGTGATTTTTTTCAGCCTGAATGTGCAAGGAAGATGCAGTTGCACAGCACCAAAGAGAAATTAGTATTACAAGGAGCACTGGTGTGTCCTGCCCTCTGTCTATAGCTGCAAAATCTACTGTCCTGGACATTACAGTGCCATTGTATCTTCCAATTACAATTTTATCACCCTGTGTTGCGCACCTGTGACTTTTTCAGGCTTCTAATTGTACAAAGCTCATTCTAGTGAAAGGATCATGAGCATTTTCAAGCAGTTTATAATGAGGATGTCATTGCTTTTCATAGTGTTAACAAGATTACCATCATGTGTTCATGAATACTTAAACACATTCAATAAAAAGGATGGGATGTGAAGAGGATGAGCTATTTCAGCTCTGAGATTGTTAATCAAGGTTGTAAATTATCCATATCCTTTAAATTCATGATGGGACAGCAACATCAAAGCACTGTTTCTCCAACTGGCTGTAGTCAGAAAACAAACTTTTTTTTTTTTTCCCAGGGACATTACCATATTCCGTAATCTTTCAGGATGGAATATTAGCTCAGAGTCCCAATGTACATGTGGTCATGAGCTGTATCTGCTTTTGCTTGCTCCTGTCAGCTGATAAATTAGTGATTTGAGCTAGAAGGAACACTTTATTCCATGTATTGGATCTGGGGGAGGGTGCGATACAGGTTTGATGCTTTACAATGTAGGCCATCAGATATACAACTTTGTTTCCAGGCAGCTCCATTTATTTACTTACTGATGTTTGTATTGAACCTTCTTCTGCCACCTAATTCATTCTTGTTAGTTTTCTGGAGTCTGCTGGTTTGCACTCCCTCACTCAGAAAGTTCCCATTGCTACACTACTCTAGGGACACAGGACTCTGCTCTCACAATCACTGATGGGTACTTCTTGAGTGCATCAACAGGCAAAAAAGACAGTTGGGCTGACTTCTGGCCCACAATTCAAGTGTCACTGACCAGTTCCTGTCAACACTATTTAGAACAACCCTTATACTAGAAAATTCTTGGAGTTAGTTGTCATGGTGTAGTACTAAGGAGTAACTAGCAGCTAAGTCATGTGGACAATTAGAAGAACACTCAGGCTCAATCTTGTTTTTCTCAGCAGAGTGGACAAAGCCTCTCAGTAAAAGTCATGTTTCTGTTTGCCTGCTGGAGTTTCTACCATGAAAACAGATTGTCTATGAAAGTCATTTCAGAGCTACTGTGGCTTCTAGTGAACTCTTCAACTTTGAGCACTACTATATTGCCAAAATCCTCACTTGCTCCTTACCTTCTTGGTTCATAAAATTCACTTCAAAGCTTCTGTCACTCTTAAAATTAAAAGGCATTGCTGTACAATGATTTATTATTGCTGTGATGCTGTGATAATTCCCAGAGGCCCAGTTACTAACAGGGGTACTGGGATCTTGCTAGCGCTCAAATGCCTACTTAAGTGTTTTGAATACAGAGGGGGAGTCCTGAGTAAAAATCCAAAATTTTATTTAGTATGGAACACTAGAGGAAGTGGACACAAAAAGTTTCTAGCTATAATATGTCTCTAGCCTCTATACTAGAGAGATTCACTCTCCTATGTTTCATTCCCTTTAGATCTCTGTAGTTCTTCTTAGTTCTATGGCAGATTGTCATGAACAAGGTTAAAGACAAATGGTCCCAACCCTTTTCAGCCTGCTGTATCATTTGGTGATTTGGACATTCTTGTCAAAGGTAGAAGGAAGAGGTGACTCAGAATCTCCTCTGGCAGAGCAGTGAATTAAAACTGGGCTCATGTGCGATTGCTAAAATGACCAGATTATTGGAGAAAAGATGATGTTTGTTCAGGGCTATCAGAGGCTGTTAGACATGTTCTCCCTAATATGCTTAATTTGCTACTGAGGAGGGTGTTGGAAGGCACATTGACCTTGTTGTGCCCTGTTGTACTGTGTTGAATCTAAACCTGTGCAAGACTCAATTAATATAAGCTTATTTGTAACCATCTGAGGGATGAGTCTTTTATATGACACACTGATGCAGGGGAATATAATCTCTAAATCACTCTTCTGCTGTCTCACTTAGGTTGGTGTCAATGTCAAGTGGTCACATGAGTAAGACACATCTCCTGAGCTCCTGAGTTTGATCCCAAAAACTGATGCCTCCAGTGTTTCGGCTGACACTAACAATAATAAAACATCGGAGTCTACCAGGCTCCCATTATGATTAGTTACCACTAGGTTGTGATGACCAGGTATTGGTCTAAAGAAAACAACTTGTCACACCTAGTGGTACTACAGGAGCTGGATTCTCCTTGTTTGTCTTTAAGAGTGGAGCGGAACAACAGAGGAAGCAATCTTTGCAATTAATGTGATTGAGTTATACAGTGTAAACCTTTGACAAATTAAAACAGACTCTGTTGCAAACAGACTTTGTACATAATTTCTCCTAAAGTTGACATGAAAATACACTTTTAATCAGAAAGCCAGACAACGAAATTCTTTCATGTTATTATTGCACTATATCTTTTTTATATTTTTTCTTTTTTTTTTTTTCTGGCACTGTGGTGAGCCTCTAGTATCATAATTGAACTGAACAGATACTTTTCATTAAACACCATGGATCTTTTCTATGCCCCTCCTCAGATGACTTTGAAATTCTCAGAAGTAGCAATATGATTTGGTTCATATTCAAAGCTTCCTTCTTGAGGGGACAGTAAAAACATGTATGATTTCTCTAAACCTTAGTTGAGGTAAATGCAATGTTCAATAACTTCATCAAATAAAGCTTGAATTTTATGGTGCATATGCCAGTCTTCATGGTTCAGTGAACTTTTCCAAATAGTACACAGCCTGCCTATATCAAATTTGTAGAAAGGAATTGATTTTGTTGTTGTTGTTGGAATAAGGCCATTTCAACCTCTTTGCACGCTTTCCTGAAATAATAATGCTATATTAAAAGATAAATGATAAACAGATTACTGGTTTTAAGGATTATTCAAAATGTTAACAACAAATATGACAGATTTGCTGCTGTAAACTTAAATGGCATGTCTCAACCTGATTATTAAAGCTCAGTTTTCCATAGTCATGTAGGATTATAGGGCAAGGGTTTTTTTTCATCTTCTAGACAGAAGCATTATGCTTTCAACTATAACTGTAGACTGTTGTGATTATTTTTTCCCCCCATCTATTTCCTTAGTTTTGTGGTGGTATTGATAAGATAGTTATAGAGACTGCAAAATGCTTCCTGAGCACAGCTAATGTTACCAACTATGGTAGGGGGAGAATATGTGATGAAAGCAGACACATTTAGAATGTTGTCAATTTCCAGACTGATAGTCAATGACACGACAAGTGGTAGATGTTTAATGAATTATTGTGAAACCTGGCTAGTGCAATGAATTCCCCTTGGATTTTTTCTATCCATGTTTTCTAAGGCCATTTGTATATAGCTATTTTTTTCCTGCATTTGTTTGCTTTTATGTATAGTCAGATGATAAAAGGACTGCCTTTAGTATACACGGGAAGTAGCACATTTAAAAGCATCTAAAATGCAAATCTACCTAAAATTTGGGTTAGGAAGTATGTAGTAGCAGATTCTGAACTGCTGTCAGTGAACATAACTTTATTAAAGTTACAGGCATAGTGCTAATGTGTCCGAGATGAGCCCATATCCTCCTTAGGTCTCTCTCAAAGCAATACACGATCAAAGCTTTCTTTGTTCCTTCTCCCAAATAGTTTGTAATCTAGCATTCAGTTCTAATTGGTTTATCCTAATTTCCTTTTTGTCAGTGCCTTTTTGTGACACTGGCAATTTTAAATGACATGCATCTTGGGATTTCACGGGCAAAATTTATGCCAGTAATAATTAGACATCACTGATGCCTAGGACTTAAAGAGGAATATGTTCACCTAGTGAAGATAACAGTGGTGTTATCTGAACGTCTCAGTATAGTCTGAATGCCAACGACATGGTATCAGGTAGTCTTTGGTGTTCAAACAGTATGGAGAAAATGGAAGCTTATTTCAATTAGCCTAGAAAGGGCCACAACAAGGCATTTAGCTCTGCAAGCTAAAGGTAAAAATTACCTGATGGTGGTAATTCATTCATTCTATATTGGAATAAAATGAAAAAAACAAACTCAAACTCTGCAATTTCGGAAAGTTTATAGACAAGAGCTTGTATGAACTTTTATTTGGACAAAGTAACTTTGGACTAAAACTAACAGGTACATTGAGAAGTGGATACTTTACAGAGAAATAGTGGGCATTTTTTAATCCGTTTTATTCTTAATTTGATTTGAAGCCCCCCCAAAACCCTTGGCATTATGTATTGGGTCTGGCTGAGATGGAGTTCATTTTCCCTCAGCAGCCCTCACAGTGCTTTGCATTGTTAGCTAGAAAGGTGTTGAAAACACACCAGTGTTTTGGCTACTGCTGAGCAGAGCTGGCACAGCATAAGCACTGTCTCTCAACATTCCTCCCACTGCCATCAAGGGCAGGATCCTGGGAGAGGACACAACCAGGGCAGCTGATCCAAACTAACCAAAGGGATATTCCGTACCACATGGCGTCAGCTCAGATATAAAAGCTAAGGCAAGGAGAGGAAAGGAGAGTATTAGTTATTTACAATGTTTGCT